TTGTTACGTAGTGGAAATGGGCAAAGCTTGCGTAAGGACCGAGAAGCCTGGTGGTCGGAGAGTGCTAATGAGCTGGAAGCAGCAGCTGCATCTGGTAATTACCGGAAGCTCTTCCAACTCATCCGAGCCACTGTCAGCAAGAAGTCTGGTGTGAGCGAAACAATCTGCGAGGATGATGGGATGCCAATCACTAACATCCATCGACGTCTTGGACGATGGGCAGAATTTTTCGAAGGGCAGTTCAACTGGCCTGCTGCTCCGGCAACATCGGTCAGACTGTCCTTCCCTCCATGGCCAGTGACGACTGATCCATCAAACGAGGAGGAAGTCCGCAAGGAACTCCAACTCTTGAAGCGTTACAAATCACCAGGCCCAGATGACTTACCTCCGGCTCTTTTTAAAGATGGTGGTGACTTTTTGACTAATGAATTGACGACGTTGTTTACAAAGGTTTGGGAACTAGAGAGTGTACCAACGTCATGGAATGAGTCGATAGTTGTCCCTATCTTTAAAAAGGGTTCACGTCGTTCCTGTAACAACTATCGGGGGATAAGTCTACTTCCGATTGCGTCCAAACTATTGGCTTCCGTCATACTTCGTAGGTTGTTCAAAACCCGAGAAAGATTGACTCGCGAGGAGCAGGATGGTTTTCTTTCTGGTCGAGGATGTATTGATTATATCTTCACCCTCCGCCAAATGTTAGAACACCGCCATACTTATCAAAGGCCAACAATCGTAGTGTTTCTTGACATCAGGGCTGCCTTCGATTCGTTGGACAGGACTGCTCTCTGGGATTGTCTATTGAAGAACGGTGTGCCTGAGAAGTTTATTAACATCCTAAAAGCCCTATATACAAACACCTCAGGCAGAGTGAGGGCATACAACCACCTCTCTCCATTGTTTCATTCGAGCAGTGGGGTTAGGCAGGGTTGCCCAATCTCACCATTCCTCTTCAACTTTGCCATCGATGACATTCTGGAAACAGCTCTGATGGATGTAAGTAATGGCGGTGTGGGTCTGTTGACTGGAGAAAGACTTCTTGACCTTGAGTATGCGGACGATATTATCTTACTGTGCGATAATGCTCAAGCCATGCAATCCACACTTAATCAGTTGGCAATCAGTGTCCGTAGGTATGGTATGTGCTTTGCACCTTCGAAATGCAAAGTACTTCTACAAGACTGACAGGATCCTAATCCTGTGCTCACCCTGGATGGTGAGCAGATAGAAATAGTCGAGAAGTTCGTGTATCTGGGTAGCTGCATAAGTGCTGGTGGGGGTGTGAGTGATGAGATCAATGCACGTATAGTGAAAGCCAGAGCGGCTTATGCCAATCTGGGCCATCGTTAGCGCCTTCGTGATGTTAGTCTGGCCGTAAAAGGTCGGATTTACAACGCGTCGGTGAGAGCAGTTTTTCTCTATGCTTGTGAAACCTGGTCTCTCCGAGTTGAGGACGTTAGATGACTCTCTGTGCTCGATCATCGTTGTCTCCGAAGGATTGCTGACATCCAGTGGCAACACCATGTTAGTAATGCAGAGGTTCGGCATCGTGTGTTCGGGCACAGAGACGATAATGCAATTGGTGTCACCATCTTGAAACACCGACTTCGGTGGCTTGGACATGTTCTCCGAATGTCGTCCCAGAGAATTCCACGCCGTGCATTATTTGCCGACTCTGGGACTGGTTGGAAAAAGCGGAGGTGGTCAGTACATGACATGGTGTCGTGGTATGAAAGAAAGCTGCAAAGGGCTGGCTTCTGTTGGTCCTTGACGACTCCCTGGTTGGGGTCCGAGAGATGGTACAACACAGTGGCTAGAGACGTTATCAGATATGGCTCAGAACAGAAGCCAGTGGCGATCATGCTGTAACTTTCTTTTACTTTCTTCATAAAAAAGAATAACTTTAACTGAAACTATTCTTTCTGTTCGTACTTTTGCTAGCTGAACTTCATCTGCCGTGTTTATTATCTCTCTCATACACTAATTTCTGTTCGTTGTTGTTTTCCTTTTTATTATACGCACTTTACATTCTCTATCTCCTCACATTCTCATTGTTGTGTGGCGCATATGTATTTGGTGTCCCTTTGTACCAATATTTATGTTCAAATAAATAGACAAATTTGGAATATTCCATTCCTGATCATCAAGTTAGTAATTCTGAGGTTAGATGCAGGGCACTAGGTGAAGATAGAAAATCGGTTTGTGGGGTGGTGAGTCTACTGGGAATATGGAACAACCGAATACAACTTATGGGGAAGAATATCAATGTTGATTCAAGGTGAATATATGGTCAACTTCAACTGATTAACATAAGTGTATTTTTAGTCTTACCAAGGTTTTAATCAACAAAGCCCCATCAGGAAACTGAACCTTTTACTCTAGTTATTGAGGCAGTGAAAAAGACAGCAACTGTCTTGTTTACAGTACTGAAGTCGCGAAACAGTAGCTCAATGGATGATCAAAATTACAGAATGTGGTGGTTGAGAAATGTATTTTGTATGCCTAACTACCGCCTACCTAGATCCGCGATGTTTGCTGGTGCATAAGTTGGAAAGCTAGGCGCAGTCAAATCAAAAAGTGGCACCAGTCGAGTTATTGACTGCTGAAATGAGCTGTCCTGGTAGATAGAGACTAACCCGTTGGGTTTCTTAGGATAATAGTAACGTTGGGTGACATGTTCCAAAAATGGTTACAATGGAGCAGTTAAAATCACTCCTTATCTCCTCATCAAATCTTTTACATTATTTTTTTATTTAAACACAAACATTGGTACAAGGTGGCACAAAATCGATATGCACCACACAAATCATTCGATATGTATGAGGGCTAAGATACTGCCCGAGTACATAAAACGAAGCAGGTGGTTTTCTTAAGGGGTCACTCCCGGAGCCTTTGACATGAAGGTCTGATCCACAAGGCACTGGAGCAACGTCAGATGCAGTCCCACGGTAGCCGGTGACCAATTGATTCATACACTATTTGTTCTTTCGGGATACTGGAGACTATGTGCACCAACAGTTTGGAATCAGGGTTTTCTAACTCCCCTAGGTGGACTCTCCGTGTTCACCAACCCGATTAAAACGCCGGCCATTCGCTTTCTATTCTCTCAAGTTCGTAATCAACAACCCCGCCACGAGGTAGTGAGTAGGACTTCCCTAGCAGTGGTTGGTTGTATGCACGTGGCCATGTGAGAGCATTTCGAGAGGGATAGCTGACTCTCCCCACTCTCGGCCGTACCAGGGCGTTCGGTGGCCCTTTTTACACCACAAACTCATTGGTTTGGAATCGTACTGCATTTGTCTGATCTCTTCTGCTATCACTGATACAGTTATTACTTCTGTTATCTCAAGATTTATCATGATAGTCTCATATCGGTGAGATGTGTTGTGAAAACTCTGACCGATGCACGCATACGCCGAATTCTACGTTTATTATTACTGAACTTCATATTAAACAATTAGTTACAATAAATCCGAGGACCCTAAACAGTCTACACCTAGCAATACAGACCAATTCAATAGTCAGTGACTTCATGGACTGATATCACGTTTTGGCTTGGTAGTGGCTACACCAAACAACATCGAAATGAAGGCAACCGAGTTACATAATAGTTATTTAATGATAATATTGCAGTCTCGAACGGCAGTTTAAACCAGAGCATATTTAGACTTTCGAGTTGTACTGACGGATGGTGAAGCTATTCGGGTGATAAAACAGGAATAAATGGGGTGGCGCGGAAACTTGAAGTCTGTTTTAGCTAATTACCTAACGACTTAGAAGGTATAAATTGATGATAAATTAACCTACAAAGATTTATGATGTCATTAACATTATGTATACAACTGGCTATTGGGCTAGTAAAAATATTATGACTAACAGTTAAAAAGGTAGAAGAATGGTGTTGAATATTTTGAAATACCAGTAGAACGCTCAGTATTGAAAACAAGATTGCACCAGTGATAATTTTATCGAATCTAATGGAAAACACTTAACATCTACTTTATTACGATAAATTCATCATACATGAAAAAATACAATCAAAACTACTTTTGGTGGTGAATCCCTAGGAAAAGTCTACGACTTATAAGGAATCGTAAAAATCATTGAGGGGGATATATCATATGGAATAAACATCGATACATAGATTCGTAGAAAAACAACCAATTACCTAAATTGGAGTTCCATTAGGTGTTTATTACATGATTAGAAATACTATCTTAACCTGTTTTCTGCTCAAAGTTTATGTACATATTTGCAAGAAACAACGATTGTGAAGTTTTAATACGTATTGAGGTATTTGTTTCGGGCTTACACACCAATAACTATAAGATCTCTTCGGCAGACTCACAATGGGTTGAGACTGAATATGAGTTCATATTTACTAACCTAGAATTGTCAAGATGGAAGTGGTGACTGCTCTTACAATCATAGCTACCACCCAGCTAACCTGTACATGTACACGGAGTGTAAGGGTGTATTAATTACTACATATAAAACCAGTGTAATATTTCACATGAACTTTACGACACGTTAAACACAGCTCGCCCCAAACCAGAGTATATTTGTGCCAGGCCTTACTTTTTCAATGACTAATACCACAAACTCAAATTAAAAATTTTATACGCATGTTCCCAAGACGTTGTTCCGTTTGGTGGTTATTCCAAAAGAAAGTATATTATTGTGGATTTTTATCACACTACTACGGAGCTATCATAATTTATTTTCCGAAATACTATATAGTAGTATATAGTATTCTTATGATATCATAAAAGACACTGACCAACAACTTGACAATCGGCTTTCATGTGATTGCATGGCCATCACATACCATGGGTAAGCTTAATGTCTGAAAATAACGTGAATACCCTACAGGCGAAATGAAGAGGGAAGGAAATACCATATAAATATGTGCATGACCAATTGGTCATGCACAAGTGTCAAAAGTCGGGTAAATTGAAAGTAACCCAGAGCAATAGGCAAAGTGAAGATACTAAGCTGACCTGCTTGCAAACTGTGCTCTTCGATTTTGCGGTCACTTCCACAATGTGTAATTTTCTCAGCCGGCATGACGTATATTCCCAGCAGATTATCCAACAGTCCGCTCTATTGTTTGTGTGCAGCTTAGAACCTTAGTAGATTATAACAAATTTTAATGTCCAAGAATTTACCGTTCGTTTAACAATAAATAGAGTAGAACAACGTAGATTAAGTGTGAGGTTAGCCTCAGTTTTAAATTATTTCATCGGTTAAAGGTTTCACCAGGGACCAATCAAACAGTTTCAATACTTGGAATTTGTTACCCGAAGAAGTGGTGTCCACAATTTCAATTGACTCATTCAAGAGAAGACTGGACACTCACAGAAGCATACTAGAAAGGTAACACCATAGGCCGTAGGCCTCCTGCCTTTATTAAACGAATCTGAATCTGAAATGGATCAAATGCTTATGAACGGAATACTAGCTTTCATCTTGTAGCCTGAGAAAAAGTGAAGTCAACACTAGTCTTAAAAAATCGATTATTTAGATATGAAGTAAGCCAGTCAAAACACAGCGTCTAGCTTAGGTCCTGAACGCGACGAACAGACATTTACAGTATGTAGTTAAAGTTTTTAAAAAAGACCCAATCTTCGTGCTGAAAGGAAGATAAAGGAGAACCAGCGAGGCCAACGAATCTCAGTAGTTGACAAAACTTAGTTGTTCGAAAAAGAAATAAAGCTTTGAAGCGAACAAAATCTGAACGTTTGGTCTGATAGCAAAGAGCCGAAAAACCGAAATTGATTTGACTGAATCGAACGAAGTTCTCTTGTATTGCGTGCAAAGCTCATTTAATTAGTTCGTGTTAAACTATCTCACAATAATAACACTGAGATAAGTGCAATGGATTCTAATTCAAGGAAAAAATTATACCGAAATTACTTAGTGGTTCAAATGATACAGCCTGTGCTGTAAGATCAAAGTTTAATCTGTCTCAAAGCAACATACTTTATAGTAATAACAGAGGTTAATAAGCAAGCGATTCGTACATGAGAATCTAAAGGAGTATCCCTAACAAGATTGAAAAAAAATACCTATCTACAATGATTCGAATAACCGTTCTCAGAAGGCAATCAAAGAAAAGAGTGGTCGGTTGTACCATGCCATGGACTTGAATCCCGTCAAACAAATCTCTGTCGCTAATGACTCGACATTATTCAACAACAACATAAGTACTAAACGTAAGTCTTTACAAAAACCATGGAATTACTCAAAGAAGATTGAAAGGTATAATACCGTGATTAGACGAGTCTTAAATAAAAGACAATAAAGATGAGAAAAGAAATAATAATACTGTCCAATTAAACACCCTAGAGAGTCTATTGTAACACCTATATTCAGTGTTTTTGTGACGAAAAAACGAAGACATCATTTTCCTTTATTTGTCACACTTTGTTTGTAACCACATTTATATTCAATATCTATTGTTTCTCTGTGTCGGTGGTAGAGAAGAGGATATAATTGTCTGGTTATATATGCACACACTACCGCGATTGTTGAAGAGCAAACTCTACCTCCGCCGTCTGTTTTCATGCTTTATTGGCCACAGCCTTTGACTGAAGATTATAATAGTGTTATAACATCCTTTTTGGACATCCTACGCTATGTTGAAGTTTTGCCTCTGACTACTACGAAACAATACTATCGAATTTAATCTTTCTCATTACGCCGTTGGTACCACCACGTTCAGATGAACCTTGTTAACCAAGTGAACTCATTTGTGGCTGTTATCTCAAAGAGCGGCTTACATGTGACATTATTTCTTCACAACTGTTATCGTTTTTTGTTTAATATCCCATTTATATTGTAACTGTGTTCGTTACCTTTTGCTTTGCTCATAAACAAATACTTAGGTTTTTAGTGTTAATTCAGTTTTGTATATTATGAGTAACCTTGTATATTGTTATATCTTGAATAAGCTCTTCTGGAGGGGTTCGCCAAAAGTCTCAGAGGTAACAAACACAAAGCAACGATCTTAATATCGTGGAATAGCTGTTGTTGTAAGATCCAAACTAAGGTTTGGACTGAGGGATAGCTATCTAGGTGGGTTAGATACGCGCCCCTGCCCGTTCGAAACCAAGACGAGGTAATTGGGTAAAATGACGACTTTAACCAATAATACCACTCAGCTATCCAACCAATAATTGTTCGATTGATGAAATCAATCACAACAAATAAATGTTATTCTATCCTGTCTGGATAGACCATGCATAAATTCTTTTAAAAGATAATATTTGGTCGCTTTATAACACAGAGCGTTTTCAATTCTGGAAGAGTGCCTCAATTCACAACCAAAAATGCACAATTCCAATCAACACAGGTAACGCAATCAAAAGGAGGAACAAACCAATATGGCTGCCGCCAAGACGAAGTATAAAGTAAAACAACATAAGTGCAGTTCGAGAAGAAACACGGAGACTTAGTGAAGATGTAATAAAAATAAAAACTATGATAAAATACAAATATTAACAATTCAGATGTAATCAAAAAACTAACAATGTACAACTAAGGGGATCAATAGGAACAAAATGCAGATGTATACATGGAGGGATTTTCACACACACACACCAAGCATTCAAAACTGATCTTACAATTATTATTACCGCTATTATTAGCAAACAACTCATTCATACAAGTGTTGTGAGGAAACCGGAGGAGGCTTCTTCAGAAATGCAATTATTCACAATATTTAATAGTGTTTTCATAATATTCACCACGTTTAAACAAGTTATATAGTGTTTTGAAGAATATTGGGCTACCTTTCAGGGAGAAAGGAAGAAAAAAGGATGAGATGTGTAAATAATTTGCTAAGCGTGGTTATGATACACAATCAGAAAAACGGTTTTAAAAATGATTAAGGTGGTAATATTGTCTTTGTTGCGTCGGTTGTGGGATATGATAATAAAGCGTCGAGGGGCAGATGCCGAAGAGTACGAAATACAATTTATAAGCCGGTATACAAATGAAAGGTTTGATTAAATGAGCCTGGACTAGAGGGGTTCTGACTTGACCTGATGACGTCTTTGGTTACAGTCCTTATTTTCAGAACACCCCAAAACAGTTCTGGCGAATCTTCCTAAAACGCCTTCAATTTCCATCATATCATTATGCCAGCAATTGTTGTAAACTAAAATATCATATTCAGGGATAGATATTGCACATTTCTGTGTAATCGGTTATGAAATATCTGAGACGAACAGAATGTTAACACGATTAACCTGTGTCGACTGAAATAATCTCCCTCATCATCAATATTTTCTAGTCAGTAACTTCAATGTTTCTCCTTTGGATGTTAGTTTTTTTAAGTAATGGTTTGTCTATCTGTGACATAAGTCACCTAGCTCTATTTCCCTCACCCCAGCAGAGAACACCATTTTCATAAGTACAATGTTACAGAGATATCTTATTGTTCAGATTTATGAACGGCGGTAAGACAGATACAGGATCAAGTTATACCGTAGGACAAAATCGGGGTCTCAAAAAACTATAAGTTAATACGAAAGGATGAAAATGAGGAGATTCTCATCATAGGTAACAAAATAGAAGCAGTGATACGACAGCAAACTGTAAAAATATACAAACTGATAAGAAAATATAAGACTAACTGAGTAACTCATTACAGTGAAGATTGTATCTCTCGTAACAAATTTATCTTTCCTGTAAATTGGCACGCCTCATACAGCAGACTGTATTTTGAGAATAAATCATTATTCAGTATGCCACAGGCATTTGAAGTTGGACGACATTTTACTCAGTAACACCTAATATGAATTGTACCCACCAAGTGAAATCAAAAGATAGAAGCGAGGAGGTTCGAAGATATATTTGAGAGGCTATCAATACATCGTGAATCGACTGATCTAATCTGGTTAGCGATTGCAGGGGATGTTGAACACGGCGTTCCCACTCGTAATCTGGTGCGGATGCATGAACGAGCGCCTTTGGCCGGGTGAGTCCATTAAAACGAATGTGGTCAGCATCCAATGTCGAAAACTTACAGAGCTATTTATTTTGGGGATTTATTTACCGCTACATTATTATTAAATGTACAAGAAAAGCTCCATATTATTTTAAAAGCAGTTAATGTTCCTTTCGTACAATGAACAGATGTTTCAGGTTTTCCACCCACCCAAGCCCAAAATGCATTATATTTTACTGAATCATGGTCCGAGGCAGTATAAGACAAAATGGGATACCACTGGTAACTGAGCTTCATTCTGTGAAGTTCACGACTAAACCCAAGAGGATATCTGTTTGCTTTGGTATTTATATGAAAAACATATTATTTAGGGGAAAAACCATGTAATGTTTGGACTAGGAATTGTGAAACCTGAGTTCATCAGGAGATCGACTATTATGTAGTAAATTAGTCGTGTTTGCATGGGTTGCCAATCATTTATCTAGTCACAATGCTAGGTGATTAGCGGTCTCTGGTGAAAAGTACCCCAATCTAGAGATGACGCACAGCGGGTTAATGAACAACAAATAGATTTAAATAGAAGCTTAAGAAAGACTTGAATTATGATGATTAACTTGACTCAGTGTCTTTTGGTAATCTATTTCAGAAACTCGTGTAACTGGTAACGAAGGAGGATAACTCTAATTTGCTTAGAGTCTCCGAAATTGTTGCTAAAAAGGCTTAATTTTAAAGATTAAATTTTCTGTTTAACGAACATTTTAAGGTATCACAACTCACTGTGGTTTCACTGCCTAGAACTCTGTAAGGTAAGCAGGATTAACATTCATTAACTTTCTGTGCTTCATGTTTAAAATAATAGTAATTTATTCTCTAATAAATCTGTTACACGAGGCGTGCCAGTTTACATGAAAGATCAGACTGTTACTAATGATACAGGCCTCACATTATCAAGTTACTCAATTTTGTGGATGTGTTATAGGACACACAGATCATACAAACAGAGAATAAACTTTCATACATATGAATGCTGACGTTAGTAAGGCTCTACTTTACAATATGAGAGCTGGCCCGCTTCTAGGAGGTTACGTTTGCTTCTTCAGACTTGTAGATAGTCTGACATGCGTTTGATGATATGTTTATTCTCTCGCCTTATTATTAAAGGTAGGCCAATGATTTCCGACTCGTTCTCTTTTATTAGGTCCATTTCTAAGCAAGTACTTTTCGCCAGGTTAAAGAAAACAAACCAAAGTTAGAGCATTTAATGAACGATGGATTTTGCAAATGAAA